GTAGCTATTTCGTTTTTTTCTGGTGTTATCTGTTTTAAGACTATATGTGTATAATGAATAAATGAAAGACCTGGAAGTTCTAAAGACTTCTTGGCCAGGTTCTAAAGACCTGAAAAGGTTCTGATGACCTTTTGAATAAAATGTACACAGTTACTACTGAGATGAAATGTGATGCCTGTAAACAGGTTGATATGAATATAAAATACATGCATTTTATTATTTCTTATTTTTCCCTTTGTAAAGCACATCCAATTGCTTCTATGTATGAATTGTGATATATAAATAAACCACAACCATGTTATCCACAGATGAACAGAATATAAATTGTTTAGCAATATTGCCTAATGTTTGATATGGGTTTATTTGTTACTCCCTATTGGGAACAACAAGCCTGACATCTAAAACTTTATTTGATCTGTCACTAAACATGAATGTGGCCTACTTGAAACCAAAAATGTCATATGAGTTCAGAATCACCAAATAGTTTAAGCAAACGGGTTATTGTGTATGTATAATATGTATTGCATATTCTTAAAATTTCTGGACAGCGCTGTTGTCAGGGTATGACTACAAGTCCCGCCCAGACGAACTCCTGATTGGCTGTTTTCCGGTAGACTAGTTTACAAGGACCCGGCTAACGGTTTTGATTGGACACAGCAAGTGCAGATATGTAAATGAGCACCTGGTAGCGTCTGCTGGCCTCGCGGTGGCTCGAGGACCGGTTAATGCTCGGCTCTCGTCCGCGCATATACATAACCGAACCGGTTTTACCGTTACGTTTCACCACATTGTGTCGACAGTTTAACGGCAAGACATTGCTTTAATCCGCTACAACTATTAGAAAGAAGACTTTATATTTTTTATCGACGTTTTTTTATAGTCATTTGGTTTGATTTCCGAGTTTGACAACGGTTGAACGCCTCGTAACAACTGAGTTGGATTATCGTTCTGAGGAACATTTAGGAGAACCGTAAAAAAAAATTCATTAAAAAGGATTTTCAAGTTATCTACTTGGTCAACAAAGTTCTGTGTAACTTTTAGGTAAGTGTTAACGACTTTAATTGTGTTTCTGCATTGATAACGAGTCAATATCTGTAGCTCTGTATCGGTAATCTATGCGTTGTCAATAGGAGAAACTCTTATTTTGTTTCTTATTTTGTTTCAGTTTTTGGACCAAGGTGTGTGTAGCCATCTGAGACCTATTAGTTATTTCTGTCCATTTGTCTGGGAATAGGAGTCTGTGTGTAGGAGTCTGTGGGCAGGAGTCTGTGTGTAGGAGTCTGTGGGCAGGAGTCTGTGTGCAGGAGTCTGTGTGTAGGAGTCTGTGGGCAGGAGTCTGTGTGCAGGAGTCTGTGGGCAGGAGTCTGTGTGCAGGAGTCTGTGTGCAGGAGTCTGTGTGCAGGAGTCTGTGTGCAGGAGTCTGTGGCCAGGAGTCTGTGTGTAGGAGTCTGTGGGCAGGAGTCTGTGTGTAGGAGTCTAGGTGTAGGAGTCTAGGTGTAGGAGTCTAGGTGTAGGAGTCTAGGTGTAGGAGTCTAGGTGTAGGAGTCTAGGTGTAGGAGTCTAGGTGTAGGAGTCTGTGTGTAGGAGTCTGTGGGCAGGAGTCTGTGTGCAGGAGTCTGTGTGCAGGAGTCTGTGTGCAGGAGTCTAGGTGTAGGAGTCTGTGTGCAGGAGTCTGTGTGCAGGAGTCTGTGTGCAGGAGTCTGTGTGCAGGAGTCTGTGTGCAGGAGTCTGTGTGCAGGAGTCTGTGTGCAGGAGTCTAGGTGTAGGAGTCTGTGTGCAGGAGTCTGTGTGCAGGAGTCTGTGTGCAGGAGTCTGTGTGCAGGAGTCTGTGTGCAGGAGTCTGTGTGCAGGAGTCTGTGTGCAGGAGTCTGTGTGCAGGAGTCTGTGTGCAGGAGTCTGTGGGCAGGAGTCTGTGGGCAGGAGTCTGTGGGCAGGAGTCTGTGTGCAGGAGTCTGTGTGCAGGAGTCTGTGTGCAGGAGTCTGTGGGCAGGAGTCTGTGTGTAGGAGTCTGTGGGCAGGAGTCTGTGTGTAGGAGTCTAGGTGTAGGAGTCTAGGGTGTAGGAGTCTAGGTGTAGGAGTCTAGGTGTAGGAGTCTAGGTGTAGGAGTCTAGGTGTAGGAGTCTGTGTGCAGGAGTCTGTGGGCAGGAGTCTGTGTGCAGGAGTCTGTGTGCAGGAGTCTGTGTGCAGGAGTCTAGGTGTAGGAGTCTGTGTGCAGGAGTCTGTGGGCAGGAGTCTGTGGGCAGGAGTCTGTGGGCAGGAGTCTGTGGGCAGGAGTCTGTGGGCAGGAGTCTGTGGGCAGGAGTCTGTGGGCAGGAGTCTGTGGGCAGGAGTCTAGGTGTAGGAGTCTGTGTGTAGGAGTCTGTGTGTAGGAGTCTGTGTGCAGGAGTCTGTGGGCAGGAGTCTGTGGGCAGGAGTCTGTGGGCAGGAGTCTGTGGGCAGGAGTCTGTGGGCAGGAGTCTGTGGGCAGGAGTCTGTGTGTAGGAGTCTGTGTGTAGGAGTCTGTGTGCAGGAGTCTGTGTGCAGGAGTCTGTGTGCAGGAGTCTGTGTGCAGGAGTCTGTGTGCAGGAGTCTGTGTGCAGGAGTCTGTGTGCAGGAGTCTGTGTGCAGGAGTCTGTGTGCAGGAGTCTGTGTGCAGGAGTCTGTGTGCAGGAGTCTGTGTGCAGGAGTCTGTGTGCAGGAGTCTGTGGCCAGGAGTCTGTGGGCAGGAGTCTGTGGGCAGGAGTCTGTGGGCAGGAGTCTGTGGGCAGGAGTCTGTGGGCAGGAGTCTGTGGGCAGGAGTCTGTGGGCAGGAGTCTGTGGGCAGGAGTCTAGGTGTAGGAGTCTAGGTGTAGGAGTCTAGGTGTAGGAGTCTAGGTGTAGGAGTCTAGGAGTCTGCAGGTGTGCAGGAGTCTGTGTGCAGGAGTCTGTGTGCAGGAGTCTGTGTGCAGGAGTCTGTGTGCAGGAGTCTGTGTGCAGGAGTCTGTGTGCAGGAGTCTGTGTGCAGGAGTCTGTGTGCAGGAGTCTGTGTGCAGGAGTCTGTGTGCAGGAGTCTGTGTGCAGGAGTCTGTGTGCAGGAGTCTGTGTGCAGGAGTCTGTGGGCAGGAGTCTGTGTGCAGGAGTCTGTGGGCAGGAGTCTGTGGGCAGGAGTCTGTGGGCAGGAGTCTGTGGGCAGGAGTCTGTGGGCAGGAGTCTGTGGGCAGGAGTCTGTGGACTCTCTGTCTGCCTCTCACTCTGGTGGACTGGCGTCATAGAGTCTCGGTGTCCGGCGGATAATAATAAACAGTCAATGTATGTCATACAACTTGCATGCTGTCAATTGACGAGTTAAGTTGATGTGTATTAGCACGCATTAGGCATTTATCATCTATTTCGACGTTTCACTTAATTTCCATCAAATATTTCCCGAATTAGTGACCACAAATGACCTCCCTTTACCTAATTCCACTGGCCACATTTAAATGAGTCTCTATCGCCTGATTTACTTTAAATTACTTAGTCCGTGGATGTAATAGCTTTCTTCCTCTGTTGGGTTTTAACAGTATGCCTTTTTATGGAAGATCAGCACTAAAATTGTTCTAACGGCCAAGGCGCTGCCCTCAGTGACTTAAGATTGATAGTCAATAAATCGACCACAGTGTCCTTACGACGCCCAGGTGGCCGTTGAGACCCGGAGAAGTGACTTGCAGCGGTTATTAACCTCTCGACCTCAACACGCAGCACACAGGTGACCTCAAAGGCCGACCTGCGAGAGTTTCTTCCCCGGGGGATAACGCTACATAGTGTGTCCATTTTAATGCGTTTCCCCGGGGAAACGATCAGTTCAAACACACTGAACAGTAAAAGATAGAGGTGGGGGTGGACATTGCTGCCTGACTGGGTAAATAACCAGACTATAAAACTATTTCGTTCTTCCACACTTCCCACTCTTTATCTGTCTCTATCCATCCTACCCTTCCTCTCGCCGTCTACTCTTCCTCACTGCTCTATATGAAAGAGAAGTGAAGACAGTGATAAGGATTTTTGTGTTAGATTTCCCCATCAAAGTTTGCTCCAATAGCCTTTAAACCTTCTAAATGTGTGTTTGTCGATTTTGTTCCATCAGAATGGTTCGTTTTGTAGATTGGTTCAGTGTGCAGTACAGTGACAACAGAATAAGATATTGATATACTGGTCTGTACTGTACTGTAAATGACTACCCAAATGGCTCTAATAGTTATCTACTGGAAGCTTTTTGTTTTTTGGAGGAATGAACTGGTGAGGTTCATTTAACCTCCTCAGGGTCAGTTGACAACAACTCCGTCTGACCGCTCCGTCTTCGTCTGACCACTCTGCTGTTCTCATTTCATATGTCTATTTTTACTGTGTTTTTATTTTAGATCTATATATTCCCTCTATTTTGTTATTATTTTTATGATTCCAAATGATAAGATCATTTGAAACCGAAAAAATATAAGGAAATGTATTAAACTTCATATTAATGGTTTACGTGTCTTTTTATAACTCACTTTACTAAGACAGTTGGAAAACGTGGGAGTGACAGAAGACGAGTGAACTATGAGATTGAACTCTGATCTCTGGTGAAAGTTAACAGTGTTACCACCATATACCACTGCTTGGCAGTACAGCTGGCTACATTCAGTTTCGCCTTTCCTACAGGTTTGTAGATAATTGTACTAAAGCCGTACTCTACATTCCAGATACCAAGTACCTTTAATAAATCAGCAGTTCCCAACCTTTCTTCGGGGAGTGTGCAGCTGAATGTCGCTCTGTCTGGACGTTGGGTAACTGCCCATCACATCACTTTTAAATGTACCCTGGGTTGGGAACCACCATTAAGGTAGACATTTGATTGACTTCACTGGTGACTACACTATTGTCCTCATCTTAAGATGAATGCAGTTACTATAACAGTTATCAGGTAGTGTTACAGTGATATGCTATGCTTGCATTTTACAGGCTATATAGAATTTATGGATTGTATTGTAGCAGGTTTTTTAAATTTTTTATTTCACCAGATGCAACAGGGAAGCTGGGGATTGAACCCATGACATCCTACATACAAAGCATGCTCTCTACCACTGAGCTACCTACTGGTTTTGTATTTCTCAATATCAGTGTGGATTGCTTGGTATTATTGTGTCTCAACAAACCAACATACCGGATATTCTAGAAGAAGAATAACAAATAAGAAAGTTCCTTCATACATGCTCAAGTTGTTTTATGGGAATTGGCTCCAACATGGAGGAATTGGCTCAGTTATGGATATATCTATTGTCAGCTAATTCTGCAATCATTTGATTCGCCGTCAAGTTTAAATGAAACAATTTGTTAAACTTATTTAGAAAGTGTAAGGGTGTAAGAATTCAATTGGAAGTAAACATTTCAAAAGGATCAAGGCATGTGCTGCTATTTTGTTAGCTACATACAGTGTAGCTTTTGAATAATAGTGTAAAATAAATGGACAGACATAAATATTGGTTATGTATACAGTGTCGTGCCTGCTCCACTTACTGCCCTTTTGCCCTTTCTGGCGTGTCTTTTGGTAGTTGGCCGGTATAATAGTGTTTACGAAATAACTGTACAAAAGAAATCACCTCAGGCAATCATGATTCATGTGTCTTTAATGTGGTCATACATTTATATGGTCATACATTAATGTGGTCGTGCATTTGGCAGGAGTTTAGTATTTTCTGGGCAGTGTTCACTAAACCTGTCATATTCACTGCCAGCTCTGCTTATTGACACCTCAGCAATGTCTGTGGATAATCAAGGTTTTAACTTTCTACTCCACCTGTCTATCCTCTGCCCTATACCACTCCACCTGTCTGTCTCTCTGGCCAGCACTCTCTCCATTTCTGTCTATCTGATTGTCTGTCGAATCCATGGTACCTTGGATACTGTAATTGATCATTATGGCAATGCTTCTGTCAAATGTTCCACTTCTCTTGCTCTGTTCTCCGCTTGCTGCTTCTGTCAAATGTTCCACTTCTCTTGCTCTGTTCTCCGCTTGCTGCTTCTGTCAAATGTTTCACTTCTCTTTCGCTGTTCTTCTGCTTGCTGCTTTGAAGAGACAGTAGATTCCCACTTACTGCTCTTCCTGTGTTCACTTTTTCCAGCTCATATAGATAGTGATGGAATGTGGCTGGGTAAACAGTTTGTGTGTGTGTGTTGGCTGGGCTGTTTGAATGGGCGATTCTGTCATTGTATCTTATCTGTGTATCTCACCATACCATGGAATTCCTCTGTCTGTATGGTGGGGTCACTATCTTTAGGGTTCTTCATGCCTGTCAGTGACTGTTTCAAATGTTCGCCTCCAAACAACCAATGGAGAGTTTTAGGTCATCATTTAGTAATGATTTTATTCTGACTAGTGTTTAGTCAGAATATTGTTCTCCGTCTCTCCCCCCCTCCCTCTCTCCATCCCACCTTTCTCCCAGTGCTTCTCCAACATGTGACAGAATATCCCACCTGTCCTACTAATTATTACTCTGGGTATTATGTCTTCCGGTGAATCTAGAAAGCTTTTGAAAACCTTTTCGCATGACGCCACATCAGTGTTGCTTTTTTCTATATTCTGTGTCTCAAGTGACACGGTAGTCCTTATATTTAGTGCCCTTCCTTTGTCCAACACTCACAGGTCCTTGTTTAGGGTGCTATTTGAGACTGAGCCAATATCAGTGTTTCACCTCAGGGAGATTCCAGTAACAACATCTCTGTGCTGTGGTTGGGACGCGTACATCAGAGTTATTCTTCCAGGCCTTTAAAGCCTCAACAGACCAGGGTTCTGCCGGTTGTAATGACATGTAGCTCCTCTGACGAGCCCAGCCAGTGCTATCAACCAAGGCCTGAGGGCTGGAACTACGACAGAGGCGGGTGGGGGTGTGGGCGTGGGTGGGGGTGTCAGCTTTGGTTTCAACTAGCCCAGACTCCACATTAATCTGATCATCAAGGGAGCAGTGGGTTGCCTGGCACTGCTAGGTACGAGCGTTTAATCGTTAACCCTAAGCTTGCTGATTTGAATTGTTAACCAAACTAGGTGAAATATGTCAATTGCCCCATTTATGCACATATAAACAGCATATTACACATCCAGCCACAAATGGGAGGTTGGATTTATTATTTTGTTCTTTACGAAGGTCCCGGACTGGATATTTAATTTTAATTGCTCTTTTAAATCATTCCTAATTAGAACATCACCTAAATTACTTAAATGTAAATCTGGACCTGTATGAGTGCAGTCTTCTTATTGCACAACACATTCAAATTTGACCTGGTTTTTCTCTCACTTTCATTCTGTCTTTTCTAAAGCATCTTGTCCTGAGTGCTTTCCCTCGTTTTGCCTTCTCATAAGGTGAGTCATTCTCACCACACCTCAGCCCGACTGCCAGGTAGTGTGTTCATCTAACACTCTATATTTCAGTCAGTTTGGGAAAATATGGACACACCCCTACATCTCGCGGCTTCTCCTCCTTTCTGGTTCTGTCTCCTCAACCCTCTCCTCCTCCTCCTCTCCCTCCATTGTGGAACAGGGTGGTGGTCAGTGATGGCCATCTCTGACTCCTGTGAGAGTAGCACAGGGCTGTCACATATCCACATGGTCATCCCCAGTCTCTCAACCACAACCTCTTCTGACCGGTTCTGGTGAGGCGTTGTTAATTGGTTTCAGAGAACCAGGTCCGTATGTCACACTAAGTTAATGACATACCTGTATTATGTCACACTAAAACTCTAGTGTTATAAGTCTACATTCACATTATAACATGTCTGTTCTACTACAGAGTTAATGAAATACCTGTATTATGTCATTTCGATATCCATATATACTAGATATCGGTATCTAACCTATACGTATACGTAGACCTAGAGATAGAAGAGACAGGCCTCTTAGACATTTTAAACATCATTTTTCTTTTAGTGCAGATGTTTTCACTTTTCACCCAGACTAATAGCATGAGACAGAAATAGATATGACAAGTTCTTAATTCTCATGAATTCAAAGGACCTTTCTAGGTTTTTCCGAGCACATCTCTCCATCCAGGACATGGATTTTGGAGATGGTGAGGGCCAGTAATATTTATCCAAGTGTAATTCCCTGTTTGAGGCCAAGACAGGAGAGTTTCCTGAACGTGTCCCAACAAGTACAGAGAAATTACCGCTGCCTGCGAACCAAAATCGTACCGTCAGCGCAGCAGAAAGTGAGAGTGTACACACGTTCAAGGTGAAATCTGTAAAAGTCTTACTCAACTGTAGAGTCTATAAATGCTGCTTGTTTGGTCAATTAGTTACCGTCCCTGAAGTCCTAGCTACAGAGGTGGTTCGGTTTGAAATGATCACATCAATGATGGAAATGTTATACCATGTAACAACCATGGTGTTTATAATGACCTAACAAATGTCTACCAATGGCTCTTATTAATTAATTAGATTCCCAAAGCAAGACAACCTGAGCCTGTGTGACATCAATCACCACGGTTACTGTCTGCTCTGCTGTGTGACATCAATCACCACGGTTACTGTCTGCTCTGCTGTGTGACATCAATCAAAACGGTTACTGTCTGCTCTGCTGTGTGACATCAATCACCACGGTTACTGTCTGCTCTGCTGTGTGACATCAATCACCACGGTTACTGTCTGCTCTGCTGTGACATAGTGATAAATGTGCAGTCATAGTTCTGCAGCTCCTTGGAGCTCAGAGAGCTCGGGTCAATCGACCCAATCCTCGCAGAGGGGAGCAGAGGGGAGGCCACGGAAAAAGGAAAGAAAAATACTGGAAAAACTGGAAGTTACTCCCTAAATTATTGACTTTCACTTAACCTCTTTAATTTCGGGAAAGATACGTCAGAAACTCAGTTTTGGCAACAAACTTGTCTCTGGAAAGTTTAACTGCATGTTGGCCATCCACACAACAGGCTTTTCCTCACTGCACTTTCAACCTATACGTTTTAGGAATGATTACTTATCTCTAACATCCTCTTTCTCTTTATATTTCTCTCAGTTTTACTCCCTCTATTTTACAAATCTATTGTTTTGTTTGGGCTCTTTAGTTTCTAAAGTTCTGAATGGCAGTTCTTCTTGCTGACTGGTACTTCCTGGTATTTATGTGTCATCTGATACACACTGATGAATGACTGTACCACCAACTACACACAGTCATCACAATGCATATTCAGCAAGGATGTAGTTCCCCTGGGTTGCTTTATTCTCAATGAGTTGGTTGTTTTTGGAAGATCACAGCGGAGAGAATCTATATATGCTGTTGAAGGACCATGTACCACACAGAACATCTGACCTGAGTCAGTATCCTGTCCATAGGTCCATAGGTCAGCATGCATTTCAGTTGAGCTATTGTACCAATGACATGGAGTGGCTGTTGGCAGAAATACAATCCGTTAGTTCAATTATACTTAAAGGGTTGTTTTTTTTTTTAACATTTATTCAGTTCTTAAAAAAAATGTCTGTTTCAGCCTTAAGTAATGTAAGTGATAACATACAGTGTCTTTGGAAAATATTCAGACCCACTACATTTTCTCTACATTTAGTTTTGTTTGCCACTTATAATAAATTCAATTGCTATATTTGGGCCATTGTTCTACACACAATACTCCGTAATGACAAAGATTAAACACGTTTTCAGAATTCAGGTCAATGAGAAACTGAAATGTACTCACATGTGCGTTAGTAAGACCAAATCGAGTATGTTTTGATAATTTTTGAGATGTCTACAGAACTTCATTAGAGTCCATTTGTGAAAAACTCAATTGATTGAATATTATTCACAGTGATTCCCAATGTCTGAGCAAAGAACAAGACAAATACACTCTCCCATTTTGTCAATGCATTGACATTATTAACGTTTGTTTGAATTGTGGACAGGCCCTGACCTGGTAGAACTGAAATAATTACTCATGTCTCATTACAAAAAGCAAAACTTGCAAAACATTGGTTTATATTTGAGCGGACTTGATTCCTTACCCTCGGTTGTTGTCTTCACACTGTTCACCTTCCTCACACCATTCACACAACATTGTGAATGGTGTGTAACTGGATATTTAGGACATTATCAAACTCTAAAATCTAAATCTAATTTGGTGAA